GAAAAACTCAGCCCAGTCAGGGGCATCCTCTTCAGAGTTCATGGGCGTAACCATGAAATCATTTCAACGAAACTATAACTTCCAAGCAAAACGGTGGACGTACCCCTTTGATTCATTCCAATCAAATCTTCCTCTTGGGTGTTCCCCAATGAGTTGTATCCAGCAAGCGTGATCGTTGTCAATTTCCCTACTATCATCCTTTGGTGATAGCCGAACTTCGTCGGTTCAACCTAGCCTGCATCCTTTTGGTGTTGGTAACCTTCAAATTAGTGTTTGTCCTATCATCCTTTTGGTGGTAGTGGTCAGTGTGTGTTTCGCTCCGTCATCCTTTTGGTGGGGGATCTGTCACTTGGATTGGTGCCAGATTGTGCGATAGTGTTTGTCCTATCATGCTTTTGGTGGTAGTGGCCGGTGTGTGTTTTGCTCCGTCATCCTTTTGGTGGGGGGTCTGTCACTTGGATTGGTGCCAGATTGTGCGCACTACAAGAACATGTTGTATTTCCCTAGTGAATTAGTGACGTGGTAAACACGTGGGTAAAAAATTGTGTTGCCAAGTGATTACCACGTCACTAATATTTTTTATTAATAAACTTTCCACTGCCAAACTCTGAAACAAAATTTTGGAATTTTAAGGGAGAGGGAAATTTGAATTTTCCACAAATTCTGTTGTGGCGTGTAAACCACTAGGGAACTTAAAATTCAAAAAGGTCACAAATTACCCACATGATTTTCACTTCGCAACTCACTTACATCAATAATTTCCTTCCCGTTGCGTTGGCATTTAGTGGACCAACGGTAATAATTTAATATAGGGGGGATGTTCCGACTTTCAAATCACGTCGCAAATTTCTGAAGTAAAAGCCACGTCGCAACCTTTATAAGATAAGCTGGCATTTAATGGAAATACAGTTGCGACCTCCATTTCACGTCGCAACTTTCTGAAGTGTTTGCCACGTTGCAAATTACTGACCTTCCCTACACGTCGCAACTTTCTGAAGCGTATTCCACGTCGCAACCTCCCTTATATAAACAAAATCTCAGAATTTCTTCAAGTCATCGTCTCATTGCAAAACTCTCACAGCTCCTTCTTCTTCCCCCTTTGGTTTTCTCTTCCGCTGCTGGTGCTGTTACTCCAACAAAGTTTTATTTGCAAAAAATTTAAGGTGAAGAATATTAGTTGGTTTTGTGATTGTTTCATGTTATAGTTTATTTTATATTTTTTTTATTATTAACTGTTAATTTTTTTTTTAGATCTAACAATATTAATTTATAAGAAGTCCTCCATATTGGAAGCTTAGAGGTATTTATAAATTTTAATTTGTTTATATTTATTATATATTGTATTGTTGTTGTTGAAAACTTTGATAGTTAGGTTAGAAAATTTTAGATTTTAGAAATATTGTGATATAATGTATTGTATATTGTGTTTGTTGTTGTTTTAAATTTTAGAAAGCAAAAATAAAAATAATATGTTATGTGATTTTTAATTAAAAAAATAGATTATTTATTTGAAACAAATTAAAAAAATAGATTTATATTATGTTGTGTGATTTTTAAACAGATTTTTAATTAAATATTATGTTGTGTGATTTTTAGTAAATCAATTATACATATTATAGAATAACATATATTATTAAATAGTTATTATAATTTAGTAAACATAATATATATTATTTTAATAAAACAGTTTTTTAAAATAATAAAACAGTTTTTTAAATAATAAAACAGTTTTTTAATATATATTATTTTAGTAAACACAATATATTATTAAATTAATGAATATAATAAAACAGTTTTTTTAAATCAATTATACATATTAATGAATATATATTATACTTTAAATATGTTAGTAATATTAGTATAATATATTATTTTAGTGAACATAATATATTATTAAATTAATGAATATAATAAAACAGTTTTTTTAAATCAATTATACATATTAATGAATATATATTATAGAATATATTATTATAGAATAATATATATTATTAAATAGTTATTATAATTTAGTAAACATAATATATTTTATTTTAATAAAACAGTTTTTTAAAATAATAAAACAGTTTTTTAAATAATAAAACAGTTTTTTAATATGTATTATTTTAGTAAACATAATATATTATTAAATTAATGAATATAATAAAACATTTTTTTAAATCAATTATACATATTAATGAATATATATTATACTTTAAATATGTTATTAATATTAGTATAATATATTATTTTAGTGAATTTATATTATACTTTAAAAATAATGAATATAAAAATAATGAATATATATTATACTTTAAAATATATAGTGAATATATTATACTTTAAAAATAATGAATATATATTATACTTTAAAAAATGAATATATATTATACTTTAAATATGTTATTAATATTAGTATAATATATTATTTTAATGAATTTATATTATACTTTAAAAATAATGAATTTAAAAATAATGAATATATATTATACTTTAAAATATATAGTGAATATATATTATACTTTAATGAATATATTATACTTTAAAAATAAAGAATATATATTATAAATAATGAATATATATTATATTTTAAAAATAATTAATATATATTATTTTAGTGAACATATTTTATTAGGTTGGTGTCAAAATAGAAAAAATAGATTTAAATTACATATTTTATTAAAATGATATATAATGATATTTAGTACAATTGTGCAGTATGGAATATTTTCGTTACTATCGTAGTTGGATGTACGATAGAACGTTACCAGGCAGACGTGGACTTACGGCAAATTTTGAGGAAGGACTTAAGGGGTTTATCACGTGGGCATTTGCACAAGAATGTTGTCGACGTGAAGGAGGAGTGAGATGTCCTTGTCTTAAATGTGAATGTAGGTCTATTATTAGTGACCCAGAGGAAGTTGAACGTCATTTAAAGAGGAAGGGTTTCATTAAAAATTATTGGGTTTGAACATATAATGGAGAACAACTGCCGAGTAACGTATATGCAGAGACAACTAATACACACGCATCAAGCAGTCGATCACACATGGAATTTGATGAACAATTTAATTTGATCGATGAAATGGTTGGAAATGCATTTGGAGTAAATGTGACATATGATGAACCTCAGGATTTTGATGGGGAAGAGTTGCCGAATGAGGAAGCACAAAGATTTTACCAATTGTTGAAAGAAATGAATACATCGTTGTTTGAGGGGTCGACAGATTCAAAATTATCAATGTGTGTGAGATTATTGGCTGCAAAGTCAAATTGGAATGTTCCTGATCAGTGTTTGGAATACTTTGCAAAAATAATGTTGGATGCGACTCCTACGAAAGACAACTTGCCTACAAGTTATTATGATGCAAAGAGGTTGGTGTCGAAGTTGGGTTTAGAAGTACGAAAGATTGATTGTTGCATAAATGGATGTATGTTGTTTTATGACAATGAGTTTGGTATTAATGATGAGGCGTTGGAGGAATGTAAGTTTTGTAAGAGTCCGAGATATCAAGTTCGTAGTAAAGCCATTAACCGTAAACAAAAACGTGTAGCAGTGAAGTCCATGTTTTATTTGCCGATAATACCAAGGCTAAAAAGATTGTTTGCTTCAATGCATAGTGCAAGTCAAATGACATGGCATCATACAAACAAAACATCTTCAGGCATTATGCGGCATCCATCTGACGGTGAGGCATGGAAACATTTTGATAGGGTACATTCTGATTTTGCTGCAGAACCTAGAAATGTCAGGCTCGGACTATACTCTGATGGTTTTACTCCATACGTCCAAGCATCTGCAATTGCATATTCCTGTTGGCCAGTTATCGTAACCCCTTACAACCTCCCTCCAGAGATGTGCATGACAAAACCATACATGTTTTTGACTTGCCTCATTCCAGGACCGTCATGTTCTAAATCCGGAATCGACGTTTATTTGCAACCTTTAATAGATGATTTGAAGAGGCTGTGGATTGGAGAATGGACCTATGATATATCTCGCAAAACAAAACTTCACTTTGCGAGCTGCCTTGATGTGGACTATTAATGACTTTCCCGCTTATGGAATGTTATCTGGTTGGGGTACGCATGGCAAAATGGGATGTCCACATTGCATGGAATTTACAAAGGCTTTTACTTTGGAATTTGGAGGGAAAAGTTCGTGGTTTGACTGTCACCGCAGATTCCTACCACGAGACCATGTATTTAGAAGAAACAAGACTGATTTCAAAAAAGATGTATGAGTAAAAGATTTGCCTCCTCCGCGATTGTCACCAGAGGAAATATGGAATCGAGTTTCTGAACTGCCCAAATTTACAAATTACGGTGAAGCATATAAAATTGAAGGATATGGGGTCAAACACAATTGGACAAAAAGAAGTATATTTTGGGACCTCCCATATTGGAAAGATAATTTATTGCGACATAATCTTAATGTTATGCATATTGAAAAGAATTTCTTCGATAATATATTTAACACAGTGATGGATGTTCAAGGAAAAACAAAGGATAATGAGAAGGCTAGAAGGGACATGGAAATTTTGTGTGATAGAAAAGAGTTGGAGTTGAAGTCTCGGCCTAATGGAAAATTATTAAAACCTAAGGCATGTTACAGTCTAACTTCCCAAGATGCTAAAGCGGTTTGTCGATGGTTAAATGAATTGAGAATGCCGGATGGTTATGCTTCAAATTTAGCAAGGTGTGCTGACACCAAAACTGGGAAGTTGCATGGAATGAAAAGTCATGATTGTCATGTTTTCATGGAACGATTGCTTCCAATTGCGTTCAGTTCACTACCCAACCATGTGCTATATCCGCTAACTGAAATAATTCAATTTTTCAGAGATATTTGTGCGTCAACTTTAAGAGTCGATAACATCATTAAGTTGGACCAAAATATTCTAGTTATTTTATGCAAGTTGGAACGCGTTTTTCCACCTGGTTTTTTCGATTCTATGGAGCATCTACCTGTGCATCTTGCATATGAAGCCTATCTTGGTGGCCCCGTTCAATACAGGTGGATGTATCCCTTTGAAAGATTCATGGGTGATTCAAAGCGATCAGTGAAAACTAAAGCTAAAGTTGAAGGATCAATATGTGCACATTATTTGCATCGGGAAACATCACATTTTTGCAGTCATTATTTCAATCATTTGATGTTAACTCCAAGAATCATAAGGAATGAATTTGATGTTAACAAAAGAAGTCAGTTTACCTTGTCAATCTTCGGTCTTCCCGGTCGCCCCTCTGGAAAGGAGAATGTGCATTGGCTGACCCAAAAAGAATTGCAATCTGCACACGTTCATGTTCTTATTAACTGTATTGAAGTTAGGCCATATCTTGAGTAAGTATACCCTTAACGTATCTACTTATATGGCTTTACAAATTGAATTATTACATCTAACTTAAAATGTGTTTCTTTATAGGGCATTTAACGCCTCCTATTTTCAAAGCACCGGTGAACAAGCAACTACCGGTCAAATACATGCATCTTTTCCAGCATGGTTCAAGGATCAATTGTCATGCATTGTTGCACCGACTCAAGAAATACTTCATTTGCATAACTTATCTAGAGGGCCTGTTCAAAGAGAAATTGAATGGCACACATACTTTGTGAACGGCTATAAATTTCACACCCAAACGTGGACAGAAGGAAAAAAAACCATAAATAGTGGTGTATTTGTTAAAGGAGTTACAGATGATGGTGAAGACGACTTCTATGGCGTTGTTACGCATATTTACGAGTTGGCATACAATTACTTGGACTCGGAAAATAGAGTTGTCTTGTTTTATTGTGATTGGTATGATTCATCTTCCAGGGGCACAAAAATAGATAAGAAATATAACATTGTTGATATTCGAATGGACAGAAGGTACAAAGAGTATGACCCTTTCATAATGTCACATATCATTAAACAAGTTTATTATGTTCCGTACCCTTCAATTCAGTCACGTAAACGTGGATGGTGTGTTGTAATCAAAACAAAACCATTGGGTCATATTGAAACTGATGATCTAGTGGAAGATGCTTCTTACCAAGACCATGAAATTTCTCAAATTAATGATGTGGTTGAAGTTGAAGAAATTACAAATTTGTGTGATACATTGGTCGAGGGTCATCAAATTGATGCGTCTGTTTTGTTGGTAGATAATAATATGGACAAAGAGCATGAAGATATTGGATCTGAGGACATTATTGGATCAGATGATGAAAATAATATGGTCGAAGAGCATGAAGAGTTTGAATAGATAGTTTTATATGTGTTCGGACAATTTTTATTAATGTATTATTTGTTTTATATGAATGCAAATGTATTATTTACGTATTATTTATTTACGAAGAGCATGAAGAGTCTTATTGATTTATTTACGTATTATTTATTTATTGATAACTATTTCAAAATAGATACAATGCCACCCCGAACTGACAAGGGTAAGGCTAAGGAGACCCAGCCTCGTTCGAGAGCCAGAGTACGTGAGGTACCGCCCTCGCCCATGTATGCTTCTCGCCCACAGTCTCAGGCAGATCTAATATCCGTAGACACTTCACAGCCATTTACGACATTACTCTCCTCCTCCCAAACGGTTCCATCTGGGAATCCATCATTTATTAGTCCGTTTGGGGGATCCTTCATGCATCCGCTTGGGGTACCATATACGTTTACGCAGCAGTCTGGGGGATCTAGTTTTCCTGGGGGATCTAGTTTTCCTGGGGGAGCTAGTTCTCTTCCTCAGCAGTATTCCTTCACGCCGCAGCCTGTGGGATCTAGTTTTCCTCAGCAGACTCACTTCGCACAGCCTGTGGGATCTGTTTTTCCTCAACAGTATTCCTTCACGCCGCAGCCTTTAGGATCTAGTTTTCCTCAGCCGACACCTTCCACGCCCCAGCCAGAGGGATCTGGCTCCCGCATTCCACACCCCACATATATACCTGCGCGTCAGCAGCAGGATGACCACACTGTTCAGGGGGATGACGATGTTCATGAGGAGCAGACAAATCCTGTTGCAGAGGAGCATTTGGTGGTTAAAGGACGACATCTGATTAGGCCTGGGGGATCTGGGTATGTTTTTAATTTATAATATTTATTTAGCTATATATTGTCATTTTATGTTTAATACTCGCTTGTTTAGTTTTGATCCGTGTCGTCCTGCTGCTAAAGCTGTAAACTGGGTCATTCAATTGATGTATACAAAACTCATTAAGTCTTTCGGAGAGCTCCCAGATAATGAGAAAGATATATGGTTTGATAAATTCAAGGTAAATTGTATTTTTATTATAGTTATGTTATTTTATCACGATTTTTTATATATATATCTAACATTTTATTTGAATGTCATATAACTTGCAGGAAAGGTGTACTTGGCAGAAATTTGACGAGTTCAAAATTAAAAAAAATTTCAAAAGTAAGGTATCTATCAGATTATCTAACATGCTTAGGAATGCTAGACAACGTTGGGAAAGAGATCAAACTCGTCCTAACTGGATAGGCGAGGAAATATTTGGTGAACTTGTTGAGTGGTGGAAGACAGAAGATTCTCAACGAAGATCTGAACATGCTAAAAAGATGAGGGCATCTGAAGCAGGTGGCTGTCTTAATACAGTTGGAAGTATCAGTATCGGCGAACATCGTCGACGAATGGTAACTATAACTATTTTTTTAAGTTTTTTTTTTGGAATTATTATATATTTTATTTAGCTTCATTATTTTAATTAGAAAAAGGACTTGGGGAGGGAGCCACGAATTAATGAGCTATTTGTGAAGACCCGAACCAAAAAATCGGGCGACTTTGTTGACGGTCGTTCCAAATAAACCTTGGTAACTTGTTTATTATAGTTGAATTCTTTTAATTTCATAATTACTATATAATTAAATTATTTAAATTATATTTAATTTAATTTTTTTTAATGTGTGTGTAGGAGTTGTACCAGACATTGCTTGTCCAATTTCTAACTAAAAATCCTCAATATACGCCGATTGGGGATGCACCGCTTGATCCACGCGTTGATCTTTATATTTGGAATTTAACAGTAGGCGGGAAGAGAGTTAATGGATGTTTTTTTGGTCTGGGGTCTTTGGCTGGTGATTATAGAAAAGGGGACCGAACTTTATTTCAGAGACTCGATGATGGGGAAGGAGGATCGTGTCCGGCAGAATTGACACCAGAAATGTTGGCAACACTGAGACAGTTAGCTCTAGCTGAGGCGAGACGAGAGGCGGAGACACGTGAGGCATCCCTAAAGGCCGAAATGGATGATATGAGAAATAGACAAAATGCTGAAATAGAGGAAATGAGGAAGCGGCAATCAGACATGGAGGCACAAATGCAAAAATAGTTTGCCTCGAGATCGAATTATTCTCCCGAAGATGATCACCAAAACGAAGATGAATTATTTAGTGGCGAAGAATAATTTTTTTAATTATTATTTTTATTTATGACGTGAATATTACGTCACAACTTTTATTATTATTATTTGTATTTGTGACGTGAATTTCATGTGACTAAATATTTATATATTTTTAATGTATATTATTTTAATTAAAAATTATTTTAATTTTAAATTTATATTTAATATTTAATATTTATTTTAATTTTAACGTTGTTTTCAGTTAATATTGTTTATTTCCTTTTATAATTAAATTTAACAGTGAAGTGGATCCCATGTCACTAATTAGTGACGTGGGAATAAAATGGGAAAAATATTAATTCTGTGAGGTTTCCCACGTGATAACAAGGTCACAACTTTGTGACGTGGGAATCACATGGGTACTAAATTTACTTTGTGTCAGGAAAGCGTGCAAAGCAATTTGGTAAAGGTAAGTTCCCACGTGACTTTCACGTCACTAAGTAGTGACGTGGTTTTCACGTGGGAAGTTTTCTTCTTTATTTTGTGATTTGCGACGTGGTAATCCTGTCACAACTTTGTGACGTGTTTTCCACGTGGGAAAAAGTTCCCACCATTTCATCTCCGGCGTGTTTTACCCACGTCGCAACCATTGGCTAGTGAAGTGATTTTTACGTTAGTGACGTGAATATCACTTGGGAAAACGCAATATTTCTTGTAGTGGCGATATTGTTTGTCCTATCATCCTTTTGGTGGTAGTGGTCGGTGTGTGTTTCGCTCCGTCATCCTTTTGGTGGGGGATCTGTCACTTGGATTGGTGCCAGATTGTGCGATAGTGTTTGTCCTATCATCCTTTTGATGGTAGTGGTCGGTGTGTGTTTCGCTCCGTCATCCTTTTGGTGGGGGGTATGTCACTTGGATTGGTGCCAGATTGTGCGATAGTGTTTGTCCTATCATCCTTTTGGTGGTAGTGGCCGGTGTGTGTTTCGCTCCGTCATCCTTTTGGTGGGGGACCTGTCACTTGGATTGGTTCCAGATTGTGTGATAGTATTTGTCCTATCATCCTTTTGGTGGTAGTGGCCGGTGTGTGTTTCGCTCCGTCATCCTTTTGGTGGGGGGTCTGTCACTTGGATTGGTGCCAGATTGTGCGATAGTGTTTGTCCTATCATCCTTTTGGTGGTAGGGGCCGGTGTGTGTTTCGCTCCGTCATCCTTTTGGTGGGGGATCTGTCACTTGGATTGGTGCCAGATTGTGCGATAATGTTTGTCCTATCATCCTGTTGGTGGTAGTGGCCGGTGTGTGTTTCGCTCCATCATCCTTTTGGTGGTAGTAGCCGATTAGTGTTTGTCCTATCATCCTTTTGGTGGTAGTGGCCGGTGTGAGTTTCGCTCCGTCATCCTTTTGTTGAGGGGTCTGTCATCTGGATTGGTGTCAGATTGTGCGATAGTGTTTGTCCTATCATCCTTTTGGTGGTAGTGGCCGGTGTGAGTTTCGCTCCGTCATCCTTTTGGTGAGGGGTCTGTCATAGTCATTAATGTCAGATTATGCGATAGTGTTTTGCTCTATCATCCTTTTGGTGATAGTAGCCGGGCGTTTTATCCCATCATCATTTTGGTGATGGTGACCTTTTTTCCAGTTGTTCACAGTATACTCAGAGGTTTACCTTTAACCAGCGTTTTAATTCCCGGGATTTTCTTTCCTTTTCGGAAAAATTCAGGGTTTTCTTCATATCTAATCGACTTCTACCTTAAAAGAGTGAAGTCCATAGCAGTTCATCTGACTCAGTCTAAGCCAATTAGATAGGGGCATCTGTCATACCCCAAATTTGTCCTACCTGTATAGTTTTCACTTGTACATCCATCTACTAATTATTACACTCAAAAATCCAAAATATGTTGCTGTCAAAACTTAAGTTGATGCAAAGGTGAGTTGGATTTCGGGAAAATATATCGGGTTAAGAATGTGTATGGTAGTGCGTAAGGTTTGTATTGGTTTGATCAAATTGTGGTCAAACAAGGTTTGGTTTTCTGGTAGAGGCCAGGATGTGCTTTTATTCAAGTGTTGAAGGTCGGAGCTTTCAGCTAGTGTTGTGGGGTTAATTTAAGGCATCCGTGTGTCAAAAGTTGATAGTCATCCGAATCCTTTCTGTTATGTAACTAAGGTTATTGTGCAAGGTATTTTTTGGATCATTTCCTAATTCAAGAGGTTTATAATGAAGCTTATCAAGATTTAATTAGGGTTGTGATCCATAGTAAAGGTTTTGATTTCTCATAGTACAAATGAAAGTTTAAGGACAAATTCTTCTTCTTTAAAGTATTTACATGGAGTTGTTCTCATTTAAGAATGTTATTGTATTATATGAGATCAAAAATTGCAAAATCAAAACCTTAGTTTCAAATTTATGATGGGGGGTGCAAGCACTAGTCAAGGCCCAATTACAAGAAAAAAGAGAAAATTCACATTTTGCATTAGGCCCATTAATGTTTTACAAGAATCAATTAACATTCAGAATTAGCACAAAGAAATTCATGACTACACGGTCCAACTCCCAAAAGAAAGAGCTACAAGTTACAAACAATTTGAGCTTGAAGATAATAAAAATACAATTCAATTGAAGAATTGCAATATACAAAATACATAACAGTCGTACATCCAAGAGGAGATAAAGCAGAAGAAACTATATTCACAGCAATTCCAAACACCAGCCGACCACAACTTCATAGGACCTGCACAAAAGGACAACTTGGCTTGGACCCCACTGTATGGTACCAGCTACCTATTCCAAAACCCGCAAACACTCTGCCAAAGACAAACAAAGCCACACATCAAACTGCAAATACGTAACATTACACTCGCAGCCTACACCTTAACATATGGTACGCTATGTAGCAGTACCCAATTTCCG